CCTCAGAATGTCAGAAAAACCAGGAACATGTGTCATTTGAGAAAAGCTGCAAGGAATGTGCAAGCAGACTCAACAGGTACGTTATGAGAGATAAAACCACCAGCAATGCCACAGCGGAGGGGCTGCCCAAGCCCTTTGGAGTTCCTATCTCACCACAGCTTGCGCTGGTGCTGAACAAGGAACTATGGGGTTGAAAGCTGCTCTACTCAGTCTCAAGATTTTGGTCTTGCTTTGGTCTCCTTCCTGTGCACCATCCTATTTTTACTGTTTGAAAAGGGAATGTCATTGTATGTTGGAAGTGTTTAACTTTCTTTTCAGTTTTACAGGGGCTCATGGCTAGGAGTTTACCTTAAATCTCAAAGGAAACTTTAGACTTTCACCTATCTGTTAGAACTTTGGAAACACTTAAGAGATAGAATAAATGCATTTTGCATAGAGATTTGCATGATTTTGGGGTCAGGGTGCAGTATTGTGATTTTTATCCACCTATCTTCCCAAAGCCTCATGTACTCATAGGTGGGGGTTTCAGGTGGTGGCTGGATCGTGGGTATATGACTTGGGAGGTGGAGCGTGGTTAGAACAGAAGGGTCACCTGGGGTCCTGACAAGATCACTCTCCCCCCACCCTTCTTCATGATTGCTCAGCTCTCTGATTTCTGTCAACACACCATGAGTTTTTTCTCCTCTGCCATTGTTCACTGCTATGCCACCACGTCTCAGGAACAGCTGACCATCAACTGAGCTGTCTGAAAAGTATGAAGCAAAATAAATCTTCACATTGATTTTTCATTGCCAGGTATTTTTATCCTAATGATGAGGAAAGTAACTGAGGTAAAATACTCACTAGAGTCATCGCTATCTTGCCATTATTATTGCCATTCCTTCTTGAGCAAAACAATAACCGAGAGAGAGAGACAGACAGACAGGCAGACAGATGGACAGACAGAGAGAACCACGGACAGAGGATATGTGTTTCAAAGCAACTAAATGACTTATGCAAGGTCATAAATAAGGATATCTCAGATTCAGAGCAAGAGAAATCTTTCCAAAGCAGCATATATTGGTTGTATTTCATGTTGATATCTTAAGAAATTCAGAAAGATGAACAGTAAAAATAAATATTTGACTTTCTTAAATGTCACCTACTCAAGTGCCACACATAAAATGTTATACACACATAATCACTAATTTAATTAATAAGACATTTAGTAGTTTCCAAATCTAAGTTTTAAATCATAGAAAGAATGAGAACCTTGTAAAAATAAAGTACATTAAGATGTTGAAATAGTTCCCTGAACTTCCAGTCAGCATCCTGTGAGCAGGGATCATGCTGTCTATCTACTTGACAAGACCAAGTAAGGCAGGAATTGTGTTTGCAGAGTCAAGCTACTGCTAGACCGGTTGACACAATAACTGGCATAATTGCTGAGGCTTTTGACCTGCACAGGTCCTGCATACCTGTTCCCAAGAGCTTCTGTGACCCAGGAGCTCTATAGCTTGGCTGCAGACTGATCCTCACTCACAATCTCCAGATACATAGTCTGAGATCTGGGAACTGTCCATCTGTCAAGCACAGACCCTGCAGCACCAAAAGACTGTTGGTGAGTTCTGTGGCTTGAACACTTCCCATCACTCTGGACATGTAAATTGATAGCAACTGGAGAGGAGGAACACATGCACATGAAGAAGTTTCTACAACTGAACACCTCTGCTATGAACATCTTTTGATATTTTTCAACACTTTTCCATTTATTCTCTGGTTTTATCCATCTACTCCATATTTTAGCATTTTGCTTCAATATTTTTTCCAAGTGTAAACTTACTTTTGTCATATATTTTGATGACTTTTATCTTCTTTTTCTATTATTTTATTTTATTCATTTATTTATGTCAGTTTTACTTTATTCTTTTTAAATTTTCATTTATTCTACAATATTTTTGATATTTTATTTTTAGTTGACTTGTGTTAGGAATGTGGAAGTACTGAAAAGACTGTTACCTGTACATTCTTCGATTTACTACATCAATTCCTCTATATATTTCATCACTAATTTCATTTTTTTCTTTTCTGTACTAGATCTTGATAAGGTATCATCTCCTTTGTCTACTAATGTATACTTTCATCTTCTTTTGGAATAAATATTACTTTGTAAATTTCTAGGTAATTCTACAATATTTTTACCCCTTATGACCTATGTTCCTTGTGTTCTGATTGATGTAAGACTCCCACTGGATGTCACAATTAGCTATGATGTCCATATGAAGAGGAACTACCTTGATGACTGGTTTAGCAGAGTTCTTGGTGTGTATGGATGGTGGTCTTACTGGACAGGGAAGAGCCATTCTGGATGTGGCTTTTAGCCTGGTTGGAATAAAAACAAAGAACAACGAGTACTAACTTCTGCTTCTCCAGAGGAGCAGCAGACCTTATCACTGCTTATGGACATCCATCTCAAGCTTTCCAGGGTACACTTCTCTGCTTTCCAAGGCACACCCTTCCATTTCCTGATATGGATTCATAAGAGCCTCTCCAGAATTCCATGTCTTTGACTTTTGATTGGATTGATCAGATCTCAAGTGTGCTGATGACCATTTTCTTTTTTGCTTTTTTCCCTACCTGACTCTATAGGTAGTCACCGGAAGCCTACACACACACACACACACACACACACATATATATTACATATACATGGTATAGTTGGTATATATATACTATTATGCACATATGCATAGTATATTTGGTATTATATAAAGAATATATTTTATACATATATATATATACACATTGTAAACTTATTTTATGTATATATTAATCCTGTAGTAAATACTAACTAATACAGATAGATTTTGATACAAAGAGTGGCTGCAGAAAAATGTAATTGTAAGGATAAATTTCTTTAATGAATTTAGTGGTTTTTGGAGTTAGATCTAATTTAATAAGACCTAAAGCTACCTTAGTCTCTCCTAATAGTGTGATGATCCATAGTGTAAGCTGTTTAAATAATATCAAGTATAGATTCATTAGATTTTCTTAATTCACCATTTGAGAGATGCAAGGAATTTAATGACTTCGTATATGATACTTTTGAATATTTCTGGCAGAGTGGAAGTATAATGATGCTGATTGGTTCCTTTTAGCATCTTGGACAAATAAGTAATGGGAAACAAGTGTGAAGACAAACTAGCAAAGAAAAATGAGGAGCAGAAAGATTCAAACTTGCAATCCTAGATGCACATAAAGAATCTACAAGTTTATAAATGTCTCCTAAAAGATAATCTTCTCTATTAAGCCACAAGGCTGAGATTCACAAACCCAAACATAGACCATCAAATTGCATCGGATTGAATAAAGTACAACGTAAATTTAATGCTTAGCCTCTAATATCTGAAGTACAACTGAGGAACTGATTGGAAAATAATGAAGTCCCATAAATTGGGATGGAGATGTTTGGGACGATTCTGGTAACACTGATGACATCAAGCTCCTAAAGCCAAATGAAATAAGTTTACCCGAGAGATTTTTTCCATTCTCAGTGGTGCAGGCACACCACCTCCTCCCCATATAGTGTGGGCTTCCCCTTCCCTAGCTGAGAAAACTAAATCCAGTGCCGCCTGATGCTGCTAGACACGCATGATAATATTGAAACTCTTCCTGACACATTCCAATCACTCACATTTTTCCTCTAACTCTACAACACAGAGTGATCCATGACAAAGTCCACTCTTCCCCAAAAGAACTTCTTGAGCTTTTTATCCTTACTAGCAGAAGTCTAATGAACAAGCATGAGAATGTATTTTCAGGCTGTGAGATAATGGTGGCAAAACCATACAGTTGGATAAGATAGAGTTGGTTAATACAGGCCCATCCACTAAAGATTCTGAATTTATTATTGCAGCTGATTGAGTTAAAAAGGCATTAGTAGTTTCTCAGATGCGCAGAAGTATGGATTGAAACATGACCTGCTCTGAATGAGAGATGCCTGATATGCCTTGGTTTACTATAGATGAGAGAACTCAATGTCTTAGGGCAATAACAATGCTGGAATGGATTTGTCATGTTAGACCTATTTCTCCAACTGCAGTTATTCAGTAGAATTTTAGTAAAGTTCCAGATCATAGTGAGTCAGTGGGTCGCTAAATTTGTTCTGTAGTTATCTACCTAGCTCTAGAATGCATAATTGGGATAGATATATTTAGCAGAGTGCTTGACTAAATCATTACATTGGTTCTCTAATCTGCAGTATGACATATATTATGGCTGGAAATGACAAATGGAAGCCATTATATTTGCCTTTACCTGGAAAAATAGTAACCCCCAAATAATATTCCATCTCTGGAGAAAGTAAAGAGATTAACACCACTATCAAGGAATTGAAAGATACATGGGTAGTAGTTACTACTACATGTTAATTTGATTCTGTTTGGTCTGTGCAGAAGATATATGTGCCTTAGAGAATAATGGTGGATTACCATAAACTCAGTCAAGTGCTGGCCTCCATTGCAGCTGCTGTATTAGATGCGGTTTCCTTGCTTGAGCAGATTAATGCATCTCCTGTTATATGGTGTGCAGGCATTGATTTGACAAATTCCTTCTTTGACATACCTATTCACAAAGCCCACTAGAAAGTTTCCTTTCACCTGACAAGGCCAACAATACACCTTTACTGTCCTACCTCCATCTTATGTTAACTATCCTTGTTTTATAATTTAATTTTCAATGATCTTGATCTTCTTTGTCTCTCACAAAGTATCACACTGGTCCATTATATTGATGAAAATATGCTGATTGGTCCAAGTGAGCAGAAGGTACCAACAACTCTGGTTCTGTTAGTAAAACATTTGAGAGCCAGAGAATTAAAAATAAACCTAAATACATTTCAAGGTCACTGAGTTAAAAACTCAGTGAAATTTCTAGGAGGACTTCAGTGTGGCACATGCAGAGATTTTGGGAAGAATGAATTGTTACCAGTGCTACCTAAAATAAAAAATGAAGCACAGTGTCTAGTAGAGCTATTTAGAATTTTTAGACAACACATTCCTCACTTAGGTGTTTCATTTTAGCCCATTTGCCAAGTGGTTCAGAAAACTGCTAGTTTTCAGTGGATCGTAGAACAAAAGAAGGCTCTACAGCAGGTCTAGATGGCTGCTCAGATTGCTTTCCTCTTCCCATCATGAGGACATATGACAGAGAAGGTCCAATGGTACTTGAGGTCTCAGTGACAAGTAGAGATACTGTTTGCAGGCTCTGGCAAGTCCCTGTAGATGAATCATAGTGAAGAACTTTAGAATTTTGGATCAAGGCTCTGTCATCATTTGCAGATAACTACTCTCCCTTTGAAAAGCAAGTTCTGAGCTCCTACTGGACCTCAGTGGAAACTGAACTCTTGATCATGTGACACAGCATTCCCATGCAATGAGGTCTCTGTCATAAGCTGGTTATAATCTGATTCACCAAATCATAGAATTAGATATTTACAACAATAGTCCATCACTAAATGAAAGTTATACATATATGACTGAGCCTGAGAGGGAACAAGTAAATTACATGAAGAATATGCCCAAATGTCTTTGGTTCCCACGCTTGCTATATTAGAATTTTGTGTCTGAGCACACTCCTAAGGCCTTATGAAGTGTACCATGTGATGCACTATCAGGAGAGAAGGTGGAGGTATGGTTAATGGATATTTCTACATGTTTTTCAGACACCAGCAACTGGGTAGCTGTGGTACTGCAGGGTTTCCCTGAAGCACACGGTGTGAAGAAAACTACAGTGAGCAGAATTTCAGGTACTGCAACTGCTCATGTATTTTGATTGAAAGGAAAAATGTCCAGATGTAATTCAATGTGCTGGATCATGGGCTGCAGCCGTAGTCATCAGTGTAGGAAAGGATTTACAAAACATAACAATTTCATGAGAGATAATTGGAAAAGGGAACACACATGCTTATATGTAACTACCAAGCTTCTGTGCTGCAAAACAAACAATTCATAGAATGAGAAGACAACATATAAAATTGAAAAAAGAATGTTTTCAGGTATTCCTGAGGCAGAAAATTAATATCTAGAATATATAAACAATTCAAAAAATATTAGAGCTTTCAAAATAAAAGAACCACCGGGGATTTAGCTCTGTGGCATAAGCACCTGCCTGGCAAGCACAAGGTCAGTAACTCAATTCTGGTACAAAGAAAACAAAATTTAAAAAAAAACAACAATAATCAAGGCATAACAGGACAAACAAAAACACACTTGTCAGAGGCAATACAAATGGCAAAAAATATATGTCTCTTTAGGACCTCTAATGATTATATCTAGTATGTACCCCAAAAGTCTCACATACAGAGGTTTGGTCAGGTAAATAGGGAAGATCATTTGAGAGTGATTTAAATGGATGTACATTGGTACTTTGGCTCACCAATTTAATTCATTCCATAATTCTGGAAAAGATGCTCACTTTTGTATTTTTGTGGAAGGAGGTTGTGGGTTTTTTGTTTGTTTGTTTTGTACCAGGGATTGAACTCATGACCTCATGTTTTCCAGGCAGACGCTTGTGCCACTGAGCTAAATCCCCAGCCATGTGTTCATCATTTGATGGAGTGTTTACCAAAACAGTTCTGCCAAACACTTCTGTTTGTGAACTAAATAGTTCACAAACAAAAGCATTCTTAAACTGAGCTACCATTGCATTCTCAAAAGGGGATCACCTATATTTTATTGTTTCTCAACTACCATGGTATGAAGAGCTTTCCTTCACCCATGTCCTTTAACTGTGTTGGTTGTGTTTTGAATACAGCTTACCGGGGGAAAACCCACTGAAATCGTGATCCAAAAATAAACATCTCCTTTAATTTGCAGGCGATGGATATTGTACCCAATGGTGGAAAATTAACTAATACAGGCAATGAGGTCCTTGCTCTGATTGTAGAATCCTGTAGAACTGATTTACAGTTGAAATTTCAAATGGTTCAGAGACATAAGAAAGAGAATTCCTAGAATGCTGGGAGCATTGCTTTCTGTATGATGCAATTCATTTAGAGCTTACAAGACTGATGATAGGCTGTGGAAATAAAGGCCAGGCTATGGAGCATTCATGTGTAAACAAAGACTCTTCTGCTGTTGGACTATAGGACATGTATGATACGGAAAATTTGTCCATGCTTTGCTCATTTTCTGAGATTTTGTGTGAGAGTGAAGCTAATATTGGCAGAATAACTAGTGTGGTGAGAGAAATTTCAAGACAACTTGACGAATGTTCAAGCTGTGATATAGACAATGCTGGCCGTTTTTAGTTAAATATATACTGATAATTAGAAACAAAAGTGAAGTTGAATGATTTGAAAAGTCTGAAGTTTTTCCAGAAAAGAAGCTCCTGTTAAGATAAGGTAAAGGAGAATATGTATTTAAAAGTCACACATTTAAAAGTGGCACCTGGTCAGAGAGGGCAGCTCACTAGGTGCATAACTTAGAAGGATTTGTTTTCAGTCCTCGCTCTTCCTTCCTTTCTGTGCCTTCTGGTTGCCATGGTCTGAGCAGTTTTCCATGACTGTTTCCTTTCACCATGCCAGTCCTGACTTGGAGGTATCTTCCCCCAGATCGGTACCACCAAAACTGTGAACCATAGTAAATATCTACTCCATAGGGTTGTAGGAAAACCTGACTAGTACAGTCTAACTCATTTTTAATCTTATTGTTCCACTCTAACTTATTTATAGCATTTATTATTTTGCATAATAACCCCTTGTCCATTGTGTGGTTTGAAAATATTTTCTCCCAGTCTGCAAATTGTTCTATTATTCTCTTGACTCCTTTGCTCTGCAGAAGGTTTTTAGTTTGCTGTAATATTATTTGTCTGTATTTTGCTTTTATCATTGTTTTTAGGCTCATATACACACTGCCTAGGTAAAGTTAGTTTCCTTAAGTTTTCTTCCAGTAGTGTTACAGATTTCAGTGTTATAGTTAAATTTTTTGTTCCATTTGCAATTGATTTTTTATACAGTAAGTAATATATACTCAGTTGCATTCTTTTGTGGGATATTCAGTTTACCAGGCATGATTTATTGAAACTTTTCCTTTACAATAATTCAGTATATATATATATATATATATATATATATATATATATATATAATTACTTTTGAGCTCTCTAGTTCTTTGTTCATTTACTTTTTATATAACTGTCAGATAATCATCTAACATCTTTTTTCTGAGAACATTTTTTCTAATATCATTTATTCTAAAGACCACACTTTTCCACCAAATAAAATTTAACACCTTTTGAAAAATATTTGATTTATGTATGGGCTCCCTATGTTTTTAAACTAAATCTACGATATTTAATTACTGTTTCATATAGTAAGTTCTGAAATCAGGAAATATGAAAGCTTAAAACTTTGTCCTTTTACAAGATTGTTTTGGCTTTATAGGATCTATGAGTTTAAGTTTTAAGTGTCCAAAATCTCATATTTATATAAATCTGAATGATATGTCTACTGTATCTAAAATATATATTATTTTATACAGATCACATTGTCCTTAGCAACTGATTTTATTGTTGATTATTGTGCTCTTTCAAAGTTATTAACTTTTCCATGTAATACATTAGATTTCTTAAATCTAATATGTTAATTTTGTAAAGTTACTTAGTAGTAGGCAAGTAGGGTAATACATTTCTCTAATAAAGATCCCACGCCTACCTCCCCATATAATTTACCTTAAGTACTTTAGATATCACAATCTTGGGCCTATCACTGAATATTCTACTACAACAAGTCAGCAACAAGACTTAGAAATTTGACCTTTTTGTCTATTTTTAAGATGAATTCAAACAGAACAATATGAAGTTAACTATTTAGAATCAAAATAATGAGAAATATTTAATTATTAATTTACTTTTGTCCCTACTTACATAATAGAAAAAAAAACTGAGAGTGAAATTGAGGATTAGATTCAAAATAGTTTGAAAACAAGGTGGTGATCAAGAGAGAACTACTCAGCAAGGCAGGGCTAGAAACTTGTGAATACCTGTTAGAGTCATTCCTGAAGACAATGAAGGCTGAAATTTTAGATACTATAAAAAGTCACTGGTGTTTAAGTGTCATCATCACACCTTTTCCTTAAATTGTGTGAACAGTTATACAATTGTATCATTATTTTAATGATCTAATGTTGAATTATCATTACTCTATATTTTGTATATGTAATAAATTTCATATCTGTTGCTTCATATGTCTACACACATTTAGAAAATATTACCACATGATAGGGGAAATAATGAGGCGGAATGAGAAGAAGGAAGAAAGAAAGAAGAAGAAAAAAAGAAGTGAGAAAGGAAAAGTAAAAGAAAAGGAAAGGAAAGGAAAAGAAAAAAAAGAAGGAAGAGAAAACAAAAGAAAAATAATTCCTCAAATTTATAAATGTTAAAAATTTAATGTATCAGCCCTTGTTATAAACATTACACTGGTCACACCAAGGCTGGCAAGTGGAAGGACCAGAGAAGCAGCTTTTATTTCAGCACAGCGTGAGCTTTTCGTGGTTCTGTAGATGATGGTAGGTATTTCTGCCTGACATGTATTTTCCAGTTTCCTCAATAAGATACCGATCTGGGGTATGAAGGTATGTGTCTTTTAGAATCCTGGTTTCAGTAATATCACAGAAAATCTCGCTGTCTTTACTGCTTCATACACATAGAGACATGCGTGATTTCTTTCTCCTGTTTTGACTCTAACACTCTTTTTCCTTTAAGTTTATTCTCTGACTTCAGGAAGTTAAGGCGGACCGCGCTTGCTGGATTTATCCTGTTTTCATTATTAGGTTAATAGAATTTTAAATCAGCCAGTGTCATTCCTAAAATAAATTCATTTGAAAAACAGGGATGAGACAGAAACAAAATATAAACCAGTATCGCCAATTCCAGACAAAGCTCTCGATGAAGTAACACAGTGTGAAATCATATTAACTTCTTCTAATTTAAGAGCAGTTTGATAAATTGATAAATTACTGTTTATGTGCCCTTATATCCAAAAGGGTTAATCTGACTTTTCAAAGCATAAATTTGTTTGGGTTTACTGAGCCAAGTAAATCTAATCTATATTTAAAAGAAATGAAACCAAAGTTTCATGAGATCTAAGTAAAATAGCTGATCACTCAGGAAAAGGTTTCAATATATTTGATGTGCCTTGTAAAATTGAAACTTTTGAAAACTTGTTATTTCTTTAGTCTGAACTTAGGAAAGCAAATTTATGGTAGGTGATTATAAAATTATACTATCAATATGTGCATAGCAGTTAGTTTTATGAAACCAGAAAATACCTGGTGTCAGCACTATTTATGAATTATTGATCTACTCATGGATATAAAATGATGCAAATAAAAATGATGAGAAAAAGACTGCCTAAGATCCAGCTTGTAAAATCAGAACTCAGTAACTGCATAAATCCATTTCTCTTGAAAACTCATGAAATATCTCACTGCTCTTTCTTATAAATTGATAACTGTAATGTACGATATTTGGAAACTTCTAAGAATAAAATTATTAACATAATATAATTCTGATATCATCAATAAGATACATAAGATTTTTTTATTTATATGAGAGAACAAAGTTTTGAAAATAAATGAAATATGACACAAATAGCTAAATATCTTAATCAATTTTAAAAATATTTTTATAAAATAAATATGGGAGTTAACTTGCTAGTCAATATTCATTTATTTGAAGATAAAATATTTTAATAGTTGAGGTAGAGAAAATTTTTTGATCATTTATGTAAAATGATATAAAACTTCTACTATCCTATAGTATTAGAGAATATTTTTCTATGCAATCACAGAAAATAATGTGTTTTTTTTCTTAGAAATGTATTTTTCTGCTTCACCCCCACATACAGCTTCAAAAATGGAGAAGCCTCAGAAGTTACACTGTGCTTTGAACCCAGTCTATAGTCGACTATATTATTCAAGCACAATTTACCAGATCTTTCAGAGCCCTACCCAGACTTTTCTGATTATTAATTCTAAGAATATCTACGACTATATGTGATGTCATGTCAAAGTTACATGGAGCTCATTGGTCTTTTACAAAAACAGCCATTTACTGGTAGGGATAAGTGTCCTGTCCAGAATGATCCAAAATGTTATAAAAGAGCAAAGTGATAAAAGACAGATCATTAGGAATACCATGTTGTTCACTGATTGCTGCGTACTGTATGGCCTTTATGTCAGGAAGATTATGGTGGGAAGTCATTACATACCCAGGTGCCCCTGGCATCAAATCCACATAAAATATCAGGAGCTTACACATGACAAGGAAGACTGTTTCTCACTGTGCAATGTATAATTTTATATCATTTATAGATACTAAAAATGTTGATGTCCAGCCAATGGATCATGACATTAACTTTGTACAACCAACAAAAGTCAAAATCTTTCCATTTGAGATCTACATTCACACTAGGAGGAATGGACTAAAGCAGTTTGAGGCTGCTCACATGACACAGCCATTTTGGCTAGATTAAATGAGGAACAAATCATTAGTAACTCATCTTTGAGATTGTTTCCTTGGCAATTAGAGTTTGGAGTGTACACATATTAAAATTTTCTATTAATTACTTAAAGTGTACACAGGGAAACTCAAAGGTGGTTGGGACAGAAACCTAACATGCTATATAAATAAAAGCTTGACTGAATAGGTGCTTCAGTAAATGCTTATGTATTTTAAATAATTTTCTTGTGGAAATGAGTGGATTTCTGTCAGGAAATTGAAGAAACTACAATCTAAATATTAATATTCTCCAATGTGGTCTATACAAAATTTTATTTTGCCATTCTAGTTTTCTGGAAGAGAACACAAGCATGGATATAAGTCTCTCAGAGTTCTGCACATCAGCACCAACTCTTCACAAAATATCATGGAAATGACCTCTTTCCCCCCTAAAACCACATGCAGTCAGTCACAGAGAACCTTCTCAAATATATCTCCAATTTGACTCTCTCCTTCTCTTCCACCCATACTAATTACGCTGTAGCAATTACTGTGTCCTTGTCATTTGCAGTGACACATTCTCAATATTAGTCAAAGTAATCATTTAGAAATGTAATTTCACTACGTTGTTTCTTATATTGAAAATTCTGTAATTTTCATTGTTTTATTATAAGTTCAAAGTGGCACAGTTACTCCTTCAGCTATCCATCCATTTCCCTAGTGCCCAATTTTCAAGATCCCCATTTTACCAATTCTGAAATATTATTGTTTTGGACAGGAAAATTCATGGTTGTGAGAGGCTTCCTTTAACACTGTATAATATTTAGCAGTATCTTTGTCCTGTGTGACTAAGTGTTAGGAGCATCATACTATGTGTGACAAAGCATTCCAGACACAGCTAGATGTCCCCTCAATGGCCGAGTCCTCCTGGTTGAAAACAGCTCCTCTAAGTATATTGTTGTTCTTTCTTGAACTAAAATCATATTTATTTTTTTCTTTTCTGCCTCACATTGTTTAAATTGCTATATCTTTTTCCTGGACTCCTATTTATTTTGCGCCTCATTTATAGTCATTTTCTTCCAGTGCAACACACAGGTTAGTTGTACCCTGTGATGTCCTTGAGATTCACTTTTCTTTGCCCCGGCCTTGAACTTGATTCAGGGTCACTTTCTCAGCACCTCAACTATGCTCTTCAGTTACTCATAGAAGGCCTTCTCCTCAGGTCCTTTTAATTATTCTAATAATTAAAATTGTCCTACTATTATTTTATTGAATTTTTAATTCTCTATGTTCCCTTCAGGAAAATTTCCTTGAAACCAGATACTTCTTCAGTCTGGTTTTTGTTGTGGTTAATAAAACTTTGTAGATTACTCTCATTCAAATCAATGATTCCATCACTCTGCATTTCTATGTTAATTTTTATGAGTTGGGTAAGTATTTCTCACAAACTAGACTTTGTACTCAAAAAGAAAAAGAACAAAGTTTAGTTTTCTCTGTCATTTCCTCTGCACCACCAACCACCGTGTCCACCATATAATACACCCAACAGAATACCTGTTAATGGATAATGGGTGGGGGTACTCTTCCTCATTATAAATGAATAAATGTATCTCAAGCTTGTATTGAAAACCCCTTGACAGGTGTGACTTTGTTCTCCAGAATTACTGTATCCATGTTCTTAAATTTCCAATATTTTTTCTAATGGGAACAATTATTTCCTAGAATTATCATTACTCTAGGAAACTAAGAATGCAGGAATTTTTAAAATGCCATGAGTTTGGACATAAAATGAACCTTGGAGATTTAATAGATCTTTATTTTTAATTTTATGGGTAAGTATACACATTTTCACAGTGTGATACAGTGTGAGTTAACAGCAGATGAATTCTGGACCCCAGTATTCTGACAGTTAAACAATGCCTGACTTAATATCACTTAGTAGCTCTGAAAGCTACAAAGTACTCTGTGATGTATAGGTCTGCACCTTGTGAGTATGCTGAACTGGTAATGTTCATCACTTTTCTATTTATGTCATCCTCCACTCTTGCTTTCCTGCTTTCCATAGTTTCAAGTAAATTTTATTTTCATTAACTCCTTTTGCAATAAGTAGATAACATATGATTATCATCGGAACAATACATAGTACTCATGTTAATATATTTTTGTCATTATTATGCTCAGGACACTTGTTTAGACAAATGAACACTGACTCACATGTGCACACCTTCTGAATAGAAAGAGTACTTAGTATCCCAAAGTGATATCACTAACAAGAAGAAAGGCTCCATAAGCTGAACGAGATTTACCAAGGAGGCAAGAGGATGGTTACTGAATTCAGACCATTAAAGAAGTAAGAAATTCTGGTCCATGTCAGAAGATTGGCCCAGAGGAGATGGCAGTAAGTGTTGGCCTCAAAGGCATTATTTATGTCGAGTAAAAGCAAAAACCTTCTCCAGGCAATTGAAAATATGAATACAATAAAATAATGTCCCTAATATACAGAGCTGCTTTAAATCTGGAATTATAAAAATCATATTGTATATAGAACACATAACAATAGCATTGAGTTGCATTCTTAAAAGGGACTAAAGGGACCTGGAGGTTTAGCTCAGTGACATAAGAGCGTGCCTGGCAAGCACAAAGTTGGGAGTTCTATCCTCAGTACCAAAAAATAAATAAATAAATAAATAAACAAATAAATAAATAGACTAAGAAAAGATGTTAAGTATTCTCAGTGCACTATAAATGTATGTATATGTGAGACAATGCATGCATTAAATTAGTCATTCCACCAAATATGCATATTTTAAAAGTCCATGTTGTGCCTAATGAATACATATCCTTTTTTAAAAATTTTCCATTGAATGTAAAAGTGTGTAACCAGAAAATAAAAATCAGAAGTGTTATTACAAATATATTTTGGACTACCATAGTGAATACCTGACCCTAAAACATATGGAACCCTGTGCAACATTCAAGTGTCAAATCTGATATACTGTGATTAAAAGTCACATAGGAGAAAAGCAGTAATTCACCTCATAAAGGAACGTTAGATGATAATAAGATGCTAAGGGAAATATCACTCCAGGAAAATTTCATTACTTCATTTCTTCTGGTTTGAATTTTGAAGAGCAGAGTTTATCCAGCATGGTCATAATTTTCCCTGTGTAGAAAAGGCATTCAGATAAACAGGAGCAAATCTTACGTGTACAATGCTTGACAGGCTGATGTACCCATGTCATTTCTAGAAAATAACTCATTAGGCTTGACCAAGTGAATCATTTCCTTTGTTACAAACCATAAAAATTACACAGTGCAGGTTTGTGAGCTGACACCCTCCTAAGAAAAACCTGTCTTCTATCCTTCAGAGGACTGAGGAAAATATCTATCCTATATTAGCATTTGTTTGTAAAACTCTGGTTTGTTCAGCAAAACCTTTGTATGGATAGTATCTTGGGGTCTGTAGATAAATATATTTTTTAACAACCATTGTAGAAAATTAATTTTAGAAGGAAAATAATCTTCAAAACAGTATTTTCCAAAGTAGAGATCAAAGTGACTTCCTTAAATTTACCTCCTACACACAGAGATTACATAGAAAATACATGCTTTGCTCTAAAATACACAAATATACTTCTGTAAAAAAAGGAAGTTAAAAAAGCCCTATTAGTTGAATTGATGACAATAATAAATTTTCTCATGCCCCATTTTCCCAGTTAAACACTCATGTTTACACCAACAAAACATCTATTTTGTTTTCTTAGTCTATTGCTCCACATATATGGAATTTTTAATAAAAAATCATGTATAAAACAAGATTATGAGTCAAATATATTATTTAAAAGACGAGTGAATTCCTCGTGTGTCTAAACTTCTATTTCAAGGATCACATATGCAAAGAATCAGAATATGATGAATGTAAATCACAAATTGTAAATAAAATGTGTTAGTAAATAGTGTGTAGGTTTAATATACGTATTTCATTGCACCCAATCTATTTTTAAAAAATGAGAGCATTTCAATAAATTGCATCAAGTACATATTTCAAACTTCCGTTACTTGTAATAAAGAAGCAAAATTATGTTTGTCTGTATGAATGACAAAGGAAATGCTGAGATCTCAAATGTCATTTGAAGGACAGACATTGATTTAAGGCTAATAAAAGTTACTGTTTTCTTAATGCAGAGGTCCTCCCTTCCTATGCAGACGGTCTATAAATGACCCATATTCTCCCCGTTAGTAATCTGCCTTCTTGATTAGCTTTTTAGTGGAAATCTAGGTTGGCCCAGAAGCAATGATTTGACATGACTGTATTTTTTAAAAATGTACTTATCTTATTTGGTTTTCTTTCCTTTCAGTTTTGGAAGTCAGTTCAGTGTCACTATATTTTGACTTGAAGGTATTTATTCTAGGTTGTAAACAGTCCTTTTAATCTTTCCATGTTAAATGTGCAATTTGTGTTAGTTCTTCTATTTCATATTTTTATATTACTTTACAGATATCTAACCTGTGTCCATACATGATTGCTATCTCTGCCGTAGGTTTCACTTCTCTGCTCCAGCGTTCTGGCAGGCAGTGTTTCCCTTCCATGTCTGCTTCAGAGTGTCCACAGTGGGGCTGGTCCTCTCGGATCACAAACTTCTTTCTTTGGCGCGCACAGGCTCCCTTGTCCTGGGCTTGCTCCTCTAGCCAGGCAGCTGTCTGTGCATTTGCTGCTTCTCATCACAGCTCTCGGTATTTAGAGCAGTCACAAGCATACCTTACTGTTTTTGTTGCGCTCATGTCATACTTACTGAGACAGAAATCTATCTGTCACGCCTTTCCTAGCTTTTGCCTTCAAACCCATTGTGTCTTCTAATTCTAGGGGACCTTCGGTCATACAGGTTTTGCTGCTTCATGGTTTACTCTGCACTCCACTTTGTTTTCCGGTCCACTTTGTGAAGCTGACCTGTGCATTCCTGCTGCACTGTATTTCTGTGGTACAGGAAGTTAATGAAATTCTTACCATGGCCTGTAAGTTACATATAAACTGGGTTCTGTTTTTTGTCTTGGATTAGTCTCCTGTCTCTTTCATCTTGGTTAGAAATATGAGTTTCTGCTTTCATTTCATTCTTAAAAAAAAAAAACAAATACAAAGGCTGCATAACACCTGTGGCTGGCGTGGCGGGTTACTCTCGCAGGCATTGCTGTCAGGCAGCGCCTGCTCCTAACTTATCCTGGCTGCCCATTTCTCGCCATCGCAGCTTCAGTCCACACTGGAACTGTCAGCTAATCCCTCATCCGAGTCCCGACTCCACATGGCCACCTATGTGGATTTGTAGAATTTTTAAACTTCTAGCAATTTAATGTGCATTAAATTACTTCTCCACTCTCTTTCATACACAGAACAAAACAAAGCTCTTTACTTTCACCAACTTTTCAATGTGAAATGAAATTCCTAGGAACCAATTAAGCAAAAAAAGAAAGATATTCAAATAAAAGAAGCGAAATTGTTACTCTTGGCTGATGATACAATTATCTATACAAAACCCTTAATAATATTCCCCTAACCTCTGTGAACTAATAAATATTTTGAAGTTTCAGGAAACATTATTCACATACAGAAATTAGTAGAATCTTGCAACCCAGAAAATGAATGATTTTCCAAGAAAACTCCTGTTTAAAAATTAGTTAGAAACAATTTTAAACAAGTTAAAAGACTGAGCACTAAAACTGTGAATCATTTAGTAACAGAAATTGAAAAAAAAAAAAGAAATAAGTGAAAGTTACCCTGTGTTCATGGGTTGAAAAAAATATCGCTAACATATCCAATATTCAAAACTATTTGCAAAATTAGTGTAGTACTTGTAAAAATTCTAATGCTATTTTAAACAACCTAAAATTTGTACATACAAGTGAAAAGTTCTAACTAGCAAAGGCAGTTATGAATAAAAGGATCAAAGCTAGAGACAAATAAACCCTGATTTTAAACAATGGCATTAATTTAAAATAGCATGGTATCAGCATAATAAACTCTTGACCAATGAACAACAACAGCAATAACAACAGCATCAAAAAACCCAGAAACAAACTCACAAGTAGATGTTCCACTGAACTTAACAAAATACCAACAAACAAACCTTGCAAACAAAACAAAACAAAATACGAAAAATCAAAGTACCATAAATAAATGGTGTTCATAAAACTGGATATCTATATACAGAGGAATTAAATTTGACTCCTAATTCATACAAAGCATAAAAATTCCCTCAGCAATTATTAAAATATTTGAAAACATAAGAACGTTGTTTATAAAATTACCAGAAGAAAATGTGAAACCACCAGAGAAAACATAAGATTAAGATTGTATGATGCTGGGGCTGGGGATTTAGCTCAGCGGCATAAGCACCTGCCTTACAAGCAGGTCGTTGTGAGTATGATCCCTGGTACCGATAAAAAGGAAAAAGATAAAAAAAAAAAGATTGTATGATGCTGGTCTTGATAGTGTTTTTTGGGGGGTTAAACCCTAAAGTGTAAAAAACAAAAGCAAAAGATACAAGCTGAAAGCTTTTTATAAAACAACGGACAGTGAAAAGACCACCAATGGGCTGGGAAAAATATTTTGATAGAAATAATCTAAAAAGAGTTAATTTCTATCATATATAAGGAATTTAAACAACTTCATAAAAATAGTACAAAGAATCCAGTTAAAAACAGACAAGTGATATAAATCAGAAAATCTGTCACTAGCCATAAGATGTATAAAACAAAATCTCAACAAAACCAATGTTTCAAAAGCGCAAATTAAAAAAAAATCAAAAGTGTCACCTGCTAGAATTAATACTATTTAAAGATGAGGAATACCAAGTCTTGTCAAAGTTGTAAAGAAAGACAACAATTGAATGTTGTGGGTACAAATGTGAATTAGAAAACCTGTTATGGAAGCATGTAAGGAGGTTGTTCAAAACAGCAAACATAGACCTACTGTATATGATGAAGTGATTTTAGGACCCTGCATATACCAAAAAGCATTGATGCTCAAGTATTTTATATAAAGAGGCATAATATTTGCATATAACCTGTACATATCTTCCTGTATACTTTAAATAATTTCTAGATGTCTTCTAATACTTAACCCCATGCAAACTACATGTAAATAGTGTTAATTTGTAATTTCATGGACAAAAACATAAAGAAAAGGAACTAAAGTTTAAATATAACAAAGCATATACAATCTTTAGAAGGGTAAAAATATAGAACACTAACAAAAGCCACAAATTAGATCTAATTGAAATCACATATTCGTAACTGGGAAGACCCACTTTTGCCAAGATAATCCTCCCAACTTCATCTATAGCTCAAAAGTAATTTCACACAAAATCCTAGCAAGTACTTTTGTTTACAACAGCGAAGTGAATTTAATGTTTATCTACTAAACGATGCTGCAAAATTAACAAACTTAAAAGCTTCACTACATTTGGAGTAAAGATTTTTTAGAAAACTATAATAATTAAGACCATGTGGCATAGGTGAAGGTATATGTAGAGCTCAGTGAGAATTATGGTATGCTGTATAAATCCAAACTCTTCCTCCATAACCTATCCACCTCTTTTAAATGTCTTCAGTTTTACTTACATTTCCACAAAAGCACTGTTAAATGCTAACATAACTAGAAAGATAAAAATCTCTACCACCTCCTCTTTAAAGAAAGAAATTGTCATTCTGCTTCTCCAAATGATACCTGGATCCATAGGTACATATATTTAATTCTACTATTCTTTCTCACATCTGAGGGGCATAGGCCTCCCTGATATATTTTAAATAAAATCAATAATACAAATCCATCAAATCAAGAGGGTTTAGATCAAACCATCACAAAACTTTGATGACAAAATTCAACCAAAATCAGGTAACGGTGAAACTCTAGGTCACTTTTGGTTAGGAAGGTTCTAAACCCAGAGGTGAAATTTCCTTTCATGTCTCTCTCTCTCTCTCTCTTTTTTTTTTTTTTCAGAAAGATCATCTTCACAACCATCCAGAATGAAGAGGATATTCTGAAAGCCCTGGAGAAGTAAATTAAACATCGCTTGCTGTGGCAAAAACTGGCTTTTTCCTGCCTTTATTGTTTCTTGTCACTTCCCACAGTCTTTCAATCTCAGTATCACTCTACTAAGCTAGCACTTCTTCGTAATTAGTGAACTAAAAAAAGAACAATTTTAGCAAATACATCAGAAATTGAGGACATTAAATAAACCTAGAAGGAATTGTGATCTGAATCTTAATTACAACTATCAATGATCTTTAATTTCTTAGAGATTAGTTGTCTTGACTTGCTTTGAATGGAATGGACTCGGAAAAACAAACTAATGACAATAAGTTCTTCTATCAATTATCTCCCGTCAAAGATAACTTGGTGCTAATTTGGAATTCTTTTATCTTTGACATCTACCTAAATATGTTACCAGTATAAAATCAGTAACAGGATTATATATTCAAATTTTAATATCAGGGAGATTTTGGCAAGCATTATCAGTATTACCACAAGGGCTAAGAAAAGAAAAGAAGAAAAGAAAAGGTGCTTTAACAAAGAGAATTGTTGTGTTATTGTATCATTGGGGTTCATTATGGCATACGGCCTTGTCACGTAACAGTCTTTTCAGTTAAGCATCAAAAAGCTTTTCTTCTCTCCTTGCTTGATTATTTCTTCAGATCTTACTTAACAACAAGTTTTGTTTGTTTGTTTGTTTGTTTGTTTTCCATTTTCAGTTACTATTAAAGGATCTGGAGAGATCCAGAGAATGCATTAGGGATCCTCATCTGTCACATAAATGGCCTTCTAATTCCACTAAAACTTCTGCTTTCATGTACAAAGGGACCCACTGTGATCCCTCAGGAATGTGTTCATCTCTCAGTCACAGCAGGTTTCCTATCCAAACCTCTCATGACAAGTGATCAGAGAAATCCCAGATAAAAAGGTGAAATCTTGAAATCTATTGAAATGATTTCTTTGTACACATTTACTTAAATCATTAGAGTAACACTTTTACTCTGCAGTTTTGATTTGATTTGATTACATGGCCAATAAGTGGACTTGGGTAATAGGTCACACTTCTGAATGGTTAGCAGCAGAGAAGACAAATTTAATGTTTGCAGTTTCCACAATGAGTGAAAATCCTGTCTCAAGTGCCTGCAGTGAAGCAGACTTGACAGATGTCTGGCTAAGATTACTAGTTCATTAAATGGGTTACTTAAGGCATGAGTTTCTCAATTTCCAGTTCAATTTGTCTAGGCACATTCATAGATTATAGGAATGTGGCAGTTCTAAATATTGCATGCCATGAAGTAGTCCAGGAAATACTACTTTGGTAAACGAACACTCACTGCATGCCAAAAGAAGTGACATTTTAAAACTCAAATATTTCCTTTCATGTATCTGTATATGTTGATATTATTACATTCACAGTGAGTCTGATTGAATTATTTCATTTTATGTATAGCAATGATGCCTAAGTGTGACTACTTGATCTTCAAAATATGAATTCATTGAAATAAGCTTATAAAAAATGAAAAGCACAGATAGAGTATTTTTAAAAATTAAATTTCACAAAAGAATCAATGAAAAATCTTCAAGGAAGAGTAATTTAGAAAAATAAATTCAAATATTAACTAGTCTCATATTTTATCTCTTTT